GGCAGCGATTTCGGTGTAGCTTGTTAATAGCACATTCTCCGGAGCCCCTGCATGTGTACACCAGGTTCTTCCTTATGCTGCGTTTGAAGAAGCCTTTACAGCCTTCACAGCTAACGGCTCCATAATGACGTCCTGAAAGATGAAAGGGAAATGTAATCAGGTGTGCTTATGTGTCATTTCAATACCAACATTATAAAAAAAAATCTCTTTCTCTCTATACACACATATATATATATATACCTAATGCATACCTGAGGCCTTATCCCCACAGACAACGCAGTACTCCACAACAGGCTTCACAATAGACTGGTCTGAGCTTTCAGTCACAAACTGCCAAACAACCCCAGAAATTGAATAATTTAATACAGCAAACACTGCAAGCAGGCTGACTAAACATATTCATGCCCCAGTCATTAGACTTTTCAGCTTGTTTATCAAAACTGGAAGGAGTCAATAACATCTTCAGGCAATACCTGAATCTGCTGCCCAGTGAGTTCGGGGGAGGCAAACAGCAGCTGATTAACCCCAGAACCATCTGGAGTAGTGAGGATGACCTTGTTGGGTGAGCCTTCCTGCTTGGCCAGAATTACTTTCCCCCCAGAAGAATAATCAGCATTTGCTAGGATAAACTGCTGCTTTCCAGGGGAAGATGGCTCAAGTGCTGTGACGATCTGGATCTTCTGTCCAGTCTGCTGATCAGTTACAATCTGTTAAAAAAAAAAATATATATATATATAAAAACATGAGCAGGTGTTTACTGCATGTGCTGAAATGATAAGTGGAATTGACACATTTTACAAGCAAATTGCGCATCTTTATTTATTCACACAAATTCAGTCTCTGGGGGAGAACGGGCCATATCGTCACCTGGATTCTGTGTCCTAACGCCATGTTGTTGTCTGCAGACACAAGCTGAATCCTTTGAGCCTGTCCATCCATTCTGATATTGCACACACCTTCCTCCACCACCGTTCACATCAGTGCCCCATGAAACAGGCACACCTGTACAATTAAACATCTGTATTACTCTGTTGGGATCAGAGAATATCCTTTAAAAACAAAACAATTACTTCACAATGTTCTTACAGTAAACAAATCCCCGAATCACTTATCATCACTTCTGATTTATCATCCTTTCCCCCACGATAAAAATATGTTTCTTCTAATGCTGAGGCTTTTTCTAAAAATAATAACAATGAACAGTGCAAATAATGCAGGAAGAGGTCACCCTGGAGTTACATTTCCTCTGTTATCATTAATATTATTATAGTTAATGTTATAATTATTATTGTTGTTGGCTCGATCTCATATTTCTGGACAATAGCCCTAGTCTATAAATAGGAGGAACAAACACAATCAAAGTTAAATTGATTAATCAACTGATAACATGTTAATAGAAAGAGTAATGTAAAATAGCAGAAGACTCATCTTTTAATCACAAAAATATTTCTTAGGTTCTACCAAAGATCTAATTAGTGTTTTTTAATAATCTGATGTCTGCAAAGGGAGCTGGGACAACGTGATATATTTCAACTAAGAGCAAATAAGTCTGGCAGAACTTATACTTGCATAACCAATAATTATTCATACTCCAGTTTTCTCCAGTCCTTTTAGTTACAGCCCGACATCTGTTTATATTTTTAAATTATGTCAAAAGCTAATAAGTCATGCTTTGCTTGAAATAACTTTTACTAAACCAATATAAAAATATAGGTATTTAATCTGTTATGTACAGTGTCAGTAACTACATGTTAATTTGTGGCCTGTGCTAACCAATCAAGCCGGTGCTAGCTCGAAAATGCACTATTGGTGGCCTTGCGATAAAAGACAGCTTAATGTCGCGGTAAAGTAACAATAAATGAACGACAAAGACACTGTATGAAAACATACATCCTCCTGACAGCCAACTATTTAAAATCGATACGGAAGATAAAGGTATTTCTTTTCCTGTGGGTGAAAGGTCAACATTGAAGGGTTAAAGCATGCTAGGGTTCAAGGCCCATGATGCCGAATCGTACAGTGAACAGTTGCGCTCCGTTTTTCACAACTGACCAAAAATCGCAATAATTCTGGCACCGGACTTCCACGCGAGTCGGCATTTGAGAACAGCTCACGATTTAACACTTTTAAATTGCTGCTGTTATACTCACACTTACGGAAAGGATGCTGTTGCTTGCTTTACGCAGTGTGGTTTGCGACGCTAGCATTAGATAGCCGTAGCACGGTTAGCTAAAGCGGCTAACATAGCTAGATAGCATATATGTTGACGATATTACTGACGTTATGCGTTAACCTATGATGTTAGCTCTATAACTGTCTGTAGAGTCTCACAAACATAGCAGCACCTTTACATACTTGCCGATCTTATGTCTTATGCTCCCAGCTCCACACGACAGTGCTAGCGAGCTAAATTAGCTTTTTGCTAGTTGGTAGCTAATGGCAGCTTCCCTACTGTAGACCTACTGAACACTCCCTCCCTTCCTGTGTTACTGGCCGCTCACGGATCTTTCTTTAACCTCTCCTCTCCGCATAACTAATAAAGTCTTACCTTTCGACGAGCTGTTGGGTCAGATATTTTGCTGCCTTAAATAAATTAATATTTTTAAGTGTTTGCTGCAGGTAGTGGGAGGGTCAGAGTTCGTGACCTTTTTTTATCAATAAATAAGACTCGCACATGCGCATTTGGGCAACATCGATTCATATTGTGTACACTAAAACCTACAGCAATTGTCATGTTTAGACGTCACATTCCTGGTAAACCGTTCATAATGTAGTCTTCCTTTCATTATACTCATGACAAAAATCAAAACTCAAAGAAAATGAACAGGAAATCTTTCATTTGATTAATGTTTTTCTCAATGACAATATACTTTAAATTGTTAAATCTTTTTGTTGGTCATTTTTGTCACATAGTTTTAGGTTTAAGTTTAATTCTGAAATTTTAAAACAGCTTCTGTCACACCAGCTATTATTCCATTGCCTACAATGTCCTAAACCATTTTCTCACAATCCCTGCACTTGAATGATTTAGCAAGAGTACACACAACTGGGCTTAAATTTGTGACATATCACATTAGTGAGGATTAGATATTGCACAACATTTTTCTTATCAGTTGGGTTACGGTGTCTTCGCAGCAAACTGATAAATTTACATTGAAGATTACGATAAAATTCAGCAAACTGTTATGAAGACATTGTAAGCCTTTTGAAATTTCATAATCAAATGTTGAAAATATTGCACCTTTATACTAAAAAGGGGCACAGTGACAAAAAAATGAACCGCCCTCTTTTAAGTGCAAATAAATTCATTTTACATAACCAGCTTTTCGATACATAAAGTGCAGATAAAAAGATCACAAAGTGCTCTTTTTATCTAGAAAGGTGCTATATAAATACAATTTTAAATTGTCTCATTACATGTCTTTTCCAGTATATTCTTGACTGGTTACTGGTTCTATATTATTATAATTGAGAGTGAATAAAGTGACATAAATAAATAATATTTAGTTCCATATAACAGTAGCATAAAAATGAGTGATGCCATTTGCTCTGCTGTCATTACTTGAAGAATTCTAATTGTAAAGATAAATGAATAATCCTAAAACTATGCTTTGGTAACTTATGTTATGTAATGGGTGGTCTTACAATGCTGTACATGTCATGAGCTGCCCCTATTTTGCTAGCAAAGTAGGAAATAGGTGCAATAACTTATTGACACATGTAAACATAATTAGAAATAGAGTCTATAAGGCAGAAACAGAGTGTGTACAATTTTAATAACATCATATCATGTGTTTCTTCAACACAGCTTGAACTCTCGTAGTTAAACCTTCTTGTAATTTCTTAAATAAATTTTCAGGAACAGTTCTCGAGGATTCTTGAATGAAATTATTTTAAAAAAAGGATGAACCCACACTGCTTCAATAGTGTTGATCTCTGGTGAGACCAATCCATGACTGACACGGTTGCTTTGATGTTTCATGGCACATCAAAATCTGCCAGTGCTTCTTTGTATTCATTCCATCAGTTTAGATAAAATCCCCCACACCACTGACTGAATTCCAAATCCAAACCATGTTTACAGGTGACTGTAGACACTCACTGTTGCATCTCTTTCCAGGCCTCTTCTGGACACATTAACAAAATCTGGGGTCATCACCTCATAAGACTGATTTTAAGTCCAGTTCTTGTGTACTTTGGCATATCTCATCCTTTTCTTGTTTCCATCCCTTAAGAATGGTGTTTTGCCTGCCACCCTTCCACTGAGACCATTTCTGATGTGGCTTCAATGAAAAGTAGATGAATCAGTTGAAAGACCACATGCATCTCTCAGGTCCTGTGTCAGGTCTTTGCTTGTTTTTTTCCTATTTCTTAAGGACATAACTTTCAGATACTGTCCATCTGATGTTGAAGCGTCTTGGGGCGACTGTTGTTGTGATTTGGCGCTATATAAATAAAACTGAATTGAATGTTACTAGTAGCTCTTTGAGAATCACTTTGTTGGCGCAAAACTACTATTTTTATGCCTGCCAAACGGTGTTAATCTTTTTGCAACAGGCTGCTAGTAACACAGCGTGTAAAGATAAAATTTAGGTACAAGGACTGGACGGAAAATGAATGAAAAAGCAGACATGTCCAAAGAAGACACTTTTAAAGACCTTCTGAAAGCCTGAAGAGCTATGGCTCAAGAGCAATTCTGGTAATGAAATGAGGGGTGACTCAAGATATCTGCAAAAGACTGTATACCTTTAAGATCCATCATGAGGACTTATATAAGTGACTAAACTGTACAGTCAATTTTCAGCATTTAAAGTAAAAGTGATTTGGGTGTAAAGTATAGCGTTAACGTTGGAAAAGAATAATTTCAGCAAACATACATACAACAACAATAAACACATGAAAATAAAGATTTATTACAATGACAGAATTTGAGCAGTAAAAATTAATTTCTTGTCAATCTAATTACAATCACTTCTATTTACATAGATATATATTTAGGGTATAATCATATGAAGCCATTTGATTGACTTAGGTGCAGAACCCATTATGGGACAGTTTGAACAGTGAATTCTCCACCAATACATCATTGAGACTTTAGATTGCAGACTCCAGTCTAAGAAGATAAAGTAAACATTTCTTACCCAAGCAGGAAGTGAACATTGTTTTAACATTGCTCTGAACGTGCTCTATGGTAACTTATGAAGTGTGAAAAGAAAAAAAAAAAAAGCATTCTCAAACCACAAGAAATACCCACATAATTTATTTAGGAATCTGCTGGATAGACGTGTGTTCACATGCTATGACAGCAGCCGTGTCCACAGTAACTAATGGATAATTCTCTTTTTCACCAAATCTGTGCTATGGCAATCCAAGCACGACATTAGACAATTGCATTAAAAGCATAACCCAAAATTAAAGTCTAAAAATGGATTTCTGACATTGAAGCCTAAACTTTTTAAATGCATGTGGAAAAGATTCATGTGACTGTGCAAAAATAAAAATGGGTAAATCCCATCTCCACAAGAGAGCTCTAAAAACAATGTAAAAAGTAGTTACAGTAATTACAATAAAATCAATAAAAACAAAACGCACAAAACTGGTGACTCCAGATGCTGTTTACAGATTTCTGGGAGCACTGAGGTAAAACAGTTTCAGCCGAGGCAAGCACAGCCAGCAGCTTCACACAGCAGATATTAAAGCACAGCAGCCTCTTTAAAAGACGTGATCCATCTGTTAAAAAAAAGAAAAAAGAAAAATTAATATTATTACAATATTTTAATATTATTAATATTGTCACTATATGCAATAATAAATAGCATCTCTCTCTACAGTACTTTTGGGCAGTCTCTGGGCTGTCAGCTTTAAAAATGTAGTAAACTTTGTTTTTGTGGTAGAGTTTGAACTGCGACGTCTGTGAGGAATCAGCTTTTACAACAAATCCCAGCAGGGGCAGACTCTCCAAAGCTGCCACGTCCTGCATGAAGAAATGAAAAACAAATGTTGCAATAATTCCCTTTGTTCCAACTGCCATACTGAGCTTTTATTAATACAAGTAGAAGACTTTACCTCACTTGCTGCGTATTTGTACAGGACCTTGTCTTTAATGACGAACCATAACCTCTTCCCGTGCTTTTTAGCCACCTTGGACACCTGCAGGTACCCACTCATAGAGGAGTCGTCTGTGCTGGCCGTCACCTTTACAAAGTAAAAGCAGTCTGATGAGTTTTCTGAACATTATATGAAGCCAAGTTGGGACACTGTAAAATGTAAATATAAACAGAATGCAAATCTTCTAAATCCAATTTTTTTTAACAAGAATTGAAAACATTAAATGTTTAGAAATTTTACTATTTAATGAAAAATATTAACTCATTTTAAATTTGATGGCAGCAAAACTTCTCAAAAAGTTGGAACAGGGGGAAATAAAGGCTGGAAAGAACTTTCTATAACTAATTAACCTGGATACATAAAGTCTTCAAAAGATTCAGAGATTCTGGAGAAATATATCATGCAAAGAAGAAGCCATATGTGAACATGAGCTAGAATCACTGCCATCTTCTCTGGACCAAAACTCATTTAAAATGGACTGAGGCAGGGGTGTCCAACTCCAGGCCTCGAGTGCCGGTGTCCTGCAGGTTTTAGGTGTCTTTGATCCAACACAGCTGATTCAAATGGCTAAATTACCTCCTCAACATGTCCTGAAGTTCTCCAGAGGCCTGGTAATGAACTAATCATTTGATTCAGGTGTGTTGACCCAGGGTGATATCTAAAACCTGCAGGACACCGGCCCTTGAGGCCTGGAGTTGGGCACCCCTTCTGGTCCTCTGGTGGGGTCCACGGAACAGTTTTCCGCTTTCCCTTAGTCC